CTAGTTCCATTTTGAGGATGTTAAATACATGCAGCTGCAGGTAGAGAAGTTTACAATCCGCAATGGACAAGTGCCCTGCCAGTTCGAATTTATCAGCAAACCAGATGAGGAAACCTACTGCAAGGAGTGGCTGATTGCTAATCCCAGTAAGGGCTTTCTGCTATCAGGTGAGCTCCTCGCTGTTCATCTCATGTTAATGAGCTAATATTGTCACCTTCTGGCTTAGTTCTCTCTGCTAGTTTGAGAATGCTATGCCTATTTGCAGGCTTATTGGTTTAATACCTTTTTTTAACTGAGTATGGGTTTTTTATCATCTTCCGGCAGATGCTGAGATCACAGTTGAGTTGGAGGTGTTTGTTAATAAATCAACAGCTACACACTTAAACTCTGGAGAGGAAAAACTTGAAGATATCTTGGTCTTGCATCTTAACAGGGGGAAGGATTATTTTCTATCTGTAACGGGAAACTACTTGCCAAGTTGCTTTGGGTCTCCCATTCATACGCTGTGTTACATGAGGGAACCGATCCAGGACATGTCAGCAGAATCCATTCGGAAACTTGTGAGTTAAAGACAAGATTTCCTTCTGAACCCACACGAACCGTTAAAACTAGATGTTAAGTCCGGTTTATTGCTAAAGAGCCTTCTTCCACTTCCCTGGTCCATAGTCTGAGGATGCTGATACAGCTTGTGCTCTCCAGTGCGCCATCTTCACACCTTGCATTAGTTCTTCACGTGGACGAACCAACCCATTTCATGTAGAGAGCACTGAAAGTTAAGATCCCATTTGCTCTGCCTGCACGTTTAAAAAAAGCGTGCAACTTCTAAACGTAGACCTTTTCCCCTGGAGCCTTTGGCTTTCTCCACATTGAATGGAGGTGCGTGTGTATACGTGAGGCATGATGTAACGTTTCCGTAGAGCTGAGCGTACGTGAAGCATGCTTATGAGAGCAGCTTGTTTCTTCTGTCTGGACTTTTGATACAAATGTGCCGATTGTACTAATCTTGTATGAAGACTGGTGAATGAAGCCGGACAGTTTCTTAACAAGTCTTAATTCTCAGGTATAAGCTCTGTGAAGCATTTTTGCAGAGTTGAATAAGAACTTGGCTAGCTAACTCTTTTTCCCCCCCCCCCCTCCCCTCCCCACACCTCCCGCTCTCAGACCCTGATGCCGCTAGAAATGAGTGATGATGCTGTTCAAGCTGAAAAGCCTATGGACATTCCAAAAGAGCTGTGGATGATGGTGGATCACCTATACCGCAATGCTTCCCAGCAGGTTGGCAGTGTTCGTACTGGAAACACAAAATAATTTGCATTAGGTTTAGTTTTGAAGAAGATACTGGTAATAGCAATCATTGCTAACTGTGGATGTTTGGCCAATGGTAGAGATAAAGGACATCTGTGATAAGTGATCCTGGTGTCCCGGGTTGTGCTGTTTCGTGATGGTGACCTTGTCTCTGTGTGGAATGCATCAGCAGCTGTCCTTCTGCATTGCTTTCTGCTGCTGTGCCACAACCTTACTAGAACTGCTCGTGGTGGGCTTTGTGCTGATAACTACCCATTTGGAGAGATTTTTCCAGCCAGATTGTAACAACATTGCTCCATTTACCCAAATGACTTTTATTTTCCTTGAGACTGACTAACGGTCTTCTTTGCAGGAGGACCTGTTTCAGCAGCCAGGCCTCAGGTCAGAATTTGAGCAAATCCGAGATTGTTTGGACAAAGGAATGCATGATACCCTCCGTATCCTTTTAGACTGGTGTCTGGTAAGGCTCACTATGCCTTAGCGATCAAAGCCGAAAAAGATTTTATCAGTCTTCTGTGCTCCACCATGGTTTTTAAATTACCGTCTCTCATCTTGGGGTAACCGAGATCTGCAGTTCCTCGCTGCTCCTCGTCATCAGTACGAATGCCTCTGCTGAGTCCTTGCGATCTTGATGAATGACTGTTGATGAATTACGTAAGTGTCCGACTGCCAACGGCAACAGCTTGCTATGTGGAGTCAAGTGATTTAAGTCAAAGCTGTGAACAATAGGAGGAGTTCCTGGAGACCCAAGCAAAGATTAATGTTTCAGCAGAAGTACGACCAAAATAGATCACGCTGTGCTTGCCTCTTCCTTAACCGTCTTTGGACCAGTTGGCAGCAACCACTCTGTAGCAGAAGCCCTGCTGCTCTTCCTGGAAAGCCTGCCGGAGCCCGTCATCTGCTACAGGTCGTACAGCAGCTGTTTGGAGTGTGCCAGCAACTACCCGCTGAGCAGCCAGGTATCGCTGGCTTCACTGTGAGACTGTTTCTGTAATTCTGGAGGGAGGGGAGGCAAACTGTTTTATGCCAGACCAGTGACAGGCTTTTGCTCTCAGAAACTTAATCACCTGATAATAGAAAGGATCCAGAATTGGTGCTTCTTGGTTATTAAGAGCTGTTAGTATTTGCAGACAGGGTGGTGTTGGTAGTAGAAAAAGCTGCTAAGCCATTGCCATATCTTCAATATAAATGATGTTGGTTTGTTTTTTTCCCCCCCCTCTCCTCAGATCATCTCTAACCTGCCAGGGTGCCATAAAAATGTATTTGAATATCTAATGGCATTTCTACGAGAACTACTGAAAAATTCAGGGAAAAACCATTTGGATGTGAACATTCTTGGTAAGGCAAGCAAAATAACCATTCTGTTCAGAGGGGCTTTGCGGTTTGTATAACAAAACACGTTTTTCCAAAGTGGCCAGTCATGGCCTCTACTGTTTTGAAGCATTTACTAATGAGCAAACAGTCCATAGAAAAACAGTCATTGCAGTAGCCTGAAAAAAGTTGTAAAGTGACTCAGAGATGCATAGGTCATCAGCTTTATCTTGCCCCATTCTGAAGCCAGGCACTCTCTCACTTTGACTGCTTGGGGTTGGTGGAATTACCCTTGATACCCTGCTGCTGACGGGCTCTTACTGTGTGTCTCTGTGGCTTGCTTTTTTTTTTTTTAATGCAGCTAGTATATTTGGTGGCTTGTTACTTCGACCTCCTCCTGGACATCCTACACCTGATATGACTGAAAAGAGGAAGGCTCAGCAATTTATCCATCAGTTCCTCTTGAGAGATGACAATTCACCATGAATTTCAGATGCAGCTAATCTGATTGTTAGATATCAAATTACTGTAAAAATATATTTTTTTGTACAGTATGCTGGCTTTTTCTTTTAATATCACAGTATTTTATACAATCTGTTGCTTTTGAAGTTGCAGATCAGGCAGTTTGAATCAGGTGTCACTGTTTAAGCTGTAAAGTGTATCAGAGTTCTAAATAAGCTGTACGTAGACAAGCAAAAATGTAAAAGCTGATATTTACACTGTATTTTATTTAACTTGTATTAAAACTCAGAATTTTTAAGTCCTTGTTATTTAAATAAAAAAACCTCAGTGCACGTTTCCAGCCTGCCTGCCCACTTTCGATGTTGGCTGGCTTAGGCTCGTGGTTTGTTGACAGTGATTTAAGTCACGCTGTGGAAGGCCTGGAGCAGCCCCCTGCCAAGGTTTAACAGTACCGCGCCTTGGGTAGCAAGACGGACGCGTTACATGAATCGTTCTGTGGCCTTCCACTCCCCGCTCGTGTAACCTTTTGCGGCCATGCAGCAAGGTGGGCCTGCGCTCCAATGGAGGTAAGGGACTGGCCTGCAAGAAAATGGGTTTATTTTACAGGTGCGCCGGCTGGTGCCTTCGGTGCTGCGTCTGGTGCTGCAGGTGGCGGGAAGGGCGTGGAGGGGGAGGCGGGTGCTGCTGTGGGGGGAGGAGGACCCCCCCCCCGCACCGCCACCC